AGGAGGAGGAGATGGAGGACGAGGAGGAGGAGATGAACCGTCTGCCACACACCCCCATTGACAGCTCTCCTCCGGGTAGGACTCACCTCTCAGCTGTCCAATTGGCTGTCAAGAGATTGGTCCACGAACCATTTCAGTGGATTAATCCATTGGTGCGATCAGAGCTCATGATCCTGTCACTACTCTAGAGCTGCACTGGGGACCGTGGCCTCAACAAATGAGCCTCTGAGGGTGACTCCAGGTCCAAACCACACGCTCAGGAAAGAGTTGGTCCAAATCCTCACAGTGGGGTCCTCAGGGTCCCGCCACATGAGCTTAGGATGGGCTCCTGTTCCTAGAGGAACCACGTTTTGGGGGTAGTCCTGATGGTTTCCAAAGTCTCCGTCACTTCCTCAGTGGTTCAATGGCGATGTCTCGGGGGACTTACGAGTTCATCTTCCATGAATCTTATGATTTAATCTTCCAAGCTTGCCACACCCAGGCGGGCAGGGGACATTGAAGATCCCAACTCTGAGAGTCGGTCTCCATCCCGCTGATCTAAAGCTCCGCCATCTTTCCCAAAGGAGTGATGTGGATAAGGGTGAATTGAAGTCAATGCATTTGGAAGGACACCTGTGTCCACTCATGGAGGGCGCCATTTTGTTCACTGAGCGTTTCCTTCCTGGACACGCCAGATGGTCTTGACTTCTGATCTACGGCCGAGCTGTCTTTCTGCATTTCCGCCACGATTCTTCTGGCATTCAATCAGAGTCCCCGTGGCAGAACCCAGTGCAGATGGGCCATAAAACACTGAGATCAGAGCCGACTTGGATATCAAATTGCAAGATGGTGACCCAGTCTGACAATGTGATGGGGAAGTGGTGTTTCCTTCCACCCCAGGGCAACCGTGGATGGGTGGGGTGGCTGGGCAGATGGTGGAGGGGAAGGGAGCTCTACCTTCAAGGACAAGATCAAGATTTTTGTTTCTCGATTTTTTTCTTGAAGGCAGGAGAGCTGGTCACGTCTACCTGTACCAGGTGGTATGGCGATTTGATGGCACATTGAAGTCAGAAGAGGGGGTGCCATGGTATTTCCCACCCCTCCTTCCAGGTAGAAAGTGCTATTTCCAGTCTGCTTCTTTAGGTCCCCACCACCTTCCAATGGTGCTCCCCTATGGGCCTATGGGGAAGCATTGGAGACCCCAACTGTCGGAGCAATACAGCCGTGCAGACCCTTGGGTGCCATTCCGCCATCTTGGTGGATGTTTTCCATTCATTGCCTTCTGCTGATTTTCTTCTTACAATGGTGAGACGTGCTTACACACTACCCTTCTAGGAGATCCCTGTTTGCTCTTCTCACTTTTGTGGTTCTGAGTGTGCAAAAGGTAGCAGGATATCAGGACGAGGGAGCAAGCATATTCAACACTCTCCTTCCTGCACCTTTTTTTAATTCTCCTTTGCAGGATTGATG